AAGCGTGGGGGTAGGTAGGTCTCACCTCCCCCCACCAAAAAAAATCCCAGGGTCAGAGGAGGGAGGAAGACCCCCAACTTCCACCTGAGCATGCAACAAAATAAGCCTAAAAAGTGGCTCATCTGTTGGCTTGAAGGTTACCTTACAGATGAGGAGACTGAGGCAGATTGAAATTAAGCAGAGATAACTTAGCCAAGACTGTCCAGCCACAGGGAGGCAGAGCTGGGATTCAAACCTGAGCTGCCCAGGTCAGGAGTGAGCTGGAAAATTAATCTGCCCAAAGCCGGCTCCTGTCAATTCTGCAGAGCTGGGACTGGGTGAGGCGAGGGGACAACTTTACCCTCAGCTTTGCTCAAGGACTGATCATGCTCTTGGAGAGAGGGTGCCTCCCTCTTGTGATCTCACTGGACCTGCAGTTCTGCACCTTCTCTGTTCCCATGGCCCCAGTGTGACACCCAGCAGCCCCGGCCTGCCACTGGGGGCCACCAAAGGCTGAACTGCTCACCTCTCCTCCTTCCCTCCCTCTCCCCTTCTGCTCCACTGCCTCAAGCCCAGTGCTAGATCACACCCACCCATGGGTCCCCCTTGTGCGCACATCTAAACCCCCATCCTAGGATGGGATAGAGCTTGGTGGTAAGAGCACCTGCCTGGCTCGCCGAGACCCTGGGTTCAAGCCCAGTACTACAAAAGGAGGGGCAGAAAGAGAATAAAACCGCCACCCTTCATCAAGGGAGGGTCCCCAGGAAGCCTCTAGGCGCRGTCCTCCTGGCAAGACCCTCCCTTTGGGACAGGGGCTGTCCTAGCAGAGCATCTGTCTGCGCTCTCTGTCTGGGCTCGCCCTGGGGACCTGTCATTCTTGCAACTGTAAACACCCTGGCTGGCTGAAACTCTGGCATTTATTTGAAGTCGCCATCCTGCACCTCCTTCTGTGACTCCAGACTGGGGCCCAGAGCAACGCAATGCCTCTACACAGGTGGCCAACGGGCATCTCAAACAGCCTTGAGAGGGCGCCCCTGGTGCCCCCAGCCACTCCCYTGCCCACAGCACTCCTGTCTCCGTGAAGGGCGTCCGTCCTCGGTCACTCTCTTCTACCCTTGCTCACTTGACTCCACTAAAGAGTTATTTCTCCCTCCTCTCAGCCATCCTCTGCCTCAGTCTCGAGTCCAACAGGCTGAAGTCATCCTTGGCTCTCCCCACCCCACACCCACATACACTCAATCCTACTTTCCAGTGACCAGGATGAGGCAGCTCCCCCTGCATGACACCATCTTCCCGCCTTGGGTTACCGTCCCCRCTGCTGGGCTTGCCCACCACCTGCCCTCAGCCCAGCTACCAGAGAGCTCCTGGTCCCTGTGAATGGGAACCAGGAGGCCACCAAACGCTGGGGGCCACCAAAGGCTGAGATGCAAGAAAACTGAAAAAAGGCCCCTCCTCTGCCCAGAGTCCTCCAACAGGTGCCAGTCCAACATGGCCCCAATGTGTCCCCTCCCTGCTCCCCTTCTGACCTGACTCTCTTCTACCCTTGCTCACTCGACTCCACTAAAGAGTTATTTCTCCCTCCTCTCAGCCATCCTCTGCCTCAGGGCCTTTGCACTCGTTGATCTGTCTAGAATGTACCTTCTCCCACACCTCCTCTGAGGCTTCAGCCACATGTCACCTCACTGGGGTCTTCCTGACCACCTGGTTGAACTCCTCTCTCCACACCCCGCAGCCTGACCCGTTTGGAGCTTTCTCTAATACTGATCACCATCTAACACGCTGAGGAATTTACTTATCTAGATTGTGTTTGCCTGTTTCCCTCCACTGTAAGGAAAGCCCCGAGGACAAGGATTTTGGAAGATTTGTTCACCACTGAGCTCTGCCGCCTAGCACATTACCAGGTACAGAGAATTTGCTGAAGGAACTAAGAAAAAACCCACTTCTTGCACATTCCCCACCCCGCATGCACCGTCAGAGCAAGGTGCTGGCTCTGTTCCCAGGGAAACTTGGCAGTGAGGAGCATTCTACGGGCCTAGCAAACACCCTGGATGGCGTTTGCGATTATTAAACCAGCTCTTCCTTGTTTTCCAGATGGAGTCAGAGGGTGTGGTCACCACACAGCCAGGGAAGCCAATACTGAAGCTTTGGATGCCTCACTTCCGGTCAGCACCTGTGCTGCCTGCCTACCTACTGAGTGCAGGCCACAGGGCCAAGGACCCATCTGGGCCTTTTCCAAATCAACATAGGCTTTCAAAGTTTCTCCACTGCATTGCCTTCAAGGGTGTGCTTCTACAGCCGGGTGCGTTTGAGCATGTACAAGAATCTACTACCAAGGAGAGCTGCCTCCCGGTCCCAGCTGTTTTGCTTTGACCTTGATGTTGCACAGGCAGCTTCACGAAGTCAGCCCTCGGTTGCTGCTTCTGCAAGTGGACTTGAAGGAGCCGACTTCCCTTTGCAATCTCAAATAGCATGAAATAGTGCTGGGCAGGTGGACGGTGGAGCAAAAGGATTTCACTCAGTGGTGAGGCTGCGCGCAGATGATCCAAGTCTGGCTCCTCCTGGGATGCCCAGAGGCCGACGTGGCCACGTACACACCAAGTGCATCAGCAGGAAGCATGCTGCAGCAAACGCTTCCTTGTAGAATTTCCAGTTTAAACAGTTAAAAATAAAAATAAAGCCCTTTTCTTCTCTTAAATATGACCTTATGAAATGTTGAAAGCCAAATGCCCAGATTTAAAGGGAGTGTAAGAGAAGAGGCCCTGACTGGCTGTGCTCTCTCCAATGCCYAAGTATCAATTCTCTATTGCTGTCACCACTGACTCCAACCTTGGTGCACGTTTAGTCCACTCTTAGATTTCCTAATGAGGACCTGATCATGAGTGCTACGGTATGAATGTGACCCTCATGGTTTCACATTCTGGAAGCGTGGTCTTGGTGTAGCAGCAAGAGGTGGTAGAACCTTTAAGAAGTCCTGAGGTTACTGGGGGCATTAATCCAAAGGGACAGACACAGTTGGTGGGGGGCTCTGATAGAGTCAGAGCGTCTGGGCCAGAATTGGCACCACATAGTTGGAATAGAGCTAAATAAACCTCTTCACCTAATTAAAATTTACCTAGCCTCAGGTATTTCACTATGGCCATGAACACACATATAGGTCAAGAAAGACCAGACTGTGCGTGCAAATGAATATACGTGAGGAACTGGCTCAACATCATGGAGCCGGAGGCCTGTCCTACCTGCAAGGTGCAGCAGGAAAGCCGGTGGTGTAGTTCTGCCCAGGTACAAATGCTGGAGAACCAGAAGCAGAAGGAAAGTCAATTCCCCTCTGCCTTGTTTTACTTGGACCACCAAGGATGGGACGATGCCCACCCACACAGGTGGGGGGTCACTTTACTTGGCCTAATTCAAATGCTGGTCATCTAGGCACACCTAGAAACGTGTGGCAGCTACTGGGCAACACTTCAGACCCAGTCAAGTGGACACAAAATTAACCACCAATATGAAACGGTGTCYCCCATCCTTTATTCTGCATCTGTCACTGGTAAGGCAGACCGTTTTTCTGTTTCTGTCTTTTCAGTAACATTTCAATTTCCTGTCCAAAAGAGATGTTCGGGGATCCCGCATGGCCATCTCTGATGGCTCCTGATTCATGTGGCAGGACTCCACCAGCCAAGTCAGTTACACCAACCTCTCAAATGCCAGGCTTTGTAGACGTGGGGCAGCGGTGAAGACCCTCGGCAGGTTCTGGTGGAGAAGACGCACTCACTTCTCCATAGCGAAACTCAAGTGTGCTCAAGATGACAAAGTGACTGGGAACAGAGGATGGAGGTGGCAGCTTTCAGAGCAGGTGGCCCTTGGGAGAAGCCAGCAGTGCACAGTGCATCTGGGACAGAGTGGGTACGGTCAGACGTGCAGGGACAGATCCAGCGTCTGATGAGGGATGATGGGCCCAGTGTCTCAAGACCTCAGGGGCTTGAAGCAGGCAAGATCCGGCCACAAAATCCTGGCTGTATATCAGAAGTTAACTGGCAGAGGGAAGACCAGCTAGAAGTTCTGGTTTAGATGTTAGGTGTCCCCCAAAAGTTCATGATAATGCAAGAAAATTCAGAGGTGAAATGGTTGGGCCATGAGAGCATTAACCTCATCAGTGCATTGACCCACGGATGGGGATTAAATGGAGTTGGATGTCTAGGGACAGATTCTCTGAAACCGTGCGCACCAAATAGACTTTTCCTTCTCTAATGTTGTCATCAGGTTTTGGTCACAGCAATGACAGGTGTTGGAACATCTCATACGAGGCTGCAGTGCAGACAGCACTGTGGCAGGTGGAAAATGACAACCCCCAGGAATGGTCCCTGAAGACTCCCACCTGGTAGGGAAACGGGGCTCGGTACAGTAGGGGGCTGGGGTGGCGGTGACAGCAGCCCACAGTCACCCCATGTGGAAAGGAAACAACACACCTTGAAAAGATCTGTTAAGCATTGGCATAAAATGGGGGTTTCTGGGGTTGACTGACACATATGAGTGAATGATCTGAGCACACAATGCACAGCTTTGTAAACTTTATTGAATACTTACATGCCTGGGCACTGCCAGGGGCTGGGGAATGGTGAYGAGTCTATTTATACCCAAAATAGGTATCTGCTCAGTCCAGAAAGGAGGCAAAGGTCACACGCCACCTCCTGGTACTACATGGRGGGGCAAGTGAGTGTCACAGTCCTGGAGTCCAAGACATTGGGATAGCAGAGCGGGCCTCCGCGGGTGGGGCAGCTTCGTCTCCCTCAAGACCAAGGCTGAGGGGTCAGATCAGGATAAGTGGCAGTCACCAGTGCCATTACCAGTGGTGAACTGCGGCTCACGGCTGGCCTTGCCGGAGCTTCTGCTCAGCAGCTCGTTTCTAACCGTCTTCAACACAGAGCCAGAGAGGTGTGCCCCACAGTCCCAAGATCATCACTCAACAAGACGAGTGGGTTATTAACACCTTTTAATGTTTCACATTGTTGTTGTTTTTTTTTCCCAGAAGATTTGTAACAAAAAAATACATGGAATTCAGTGAGTCACAGTACTTTGGGCCATGAACTCAATCTAAACAAGTCTATGAAATGTATCATCGTGGGGCGGAGCGCTCATTCCCCTGGAAGAATCAACATGATTAGGTGCCCTCACCTCACCTGCCTGCTCCTTCATCTCGGGTTGGCAGCCTTGGGGGGATTTAAAAATGTAAATAAATAAAATTGAACACACACCTTGGCTCCCTTCCCCCTGCTGCCTCCCCATTTTCTTCATACAGAGGCACGAGGCAGGGCCAGAGCCCGGTGTGCTGCTGACCAGATGCTAGGCAGACACAGGGGTCCCTGAGGTGGCCAGAAATGTGCGTGAAGCAACCACTCAGTGCTACAGGTAAGAAGGACAGGCAGGGCTCCGAGGGGATGCAACGGGAGCTGCAAGAACTGCCGGCAGGAGCCTTGATGTCCCCAGCACACGTCCTCCGCCCACGGTGGAGAAGTGCCGCTCAGCTGCTGCACAGAGCCGGCAGCAGAGCTGGCAGCTCCCCGGACTCGCCAGGTTCAGTTCACAACACAAATCAAAATCACATGGTTTTTAAATGAAATCCTTCACATCCACCTGTGTTCAAAAAATTAAATAACTTATGTTATTAACACCTTCCTTAAAAAATCAATTATCACAGACTTAAATCCAAAGTGTGGAAAGACCTACTTTCCTGTGAATGTAGTTCTTCCAAAGGGACAGATATGCGCACACTCAACAAACAGCTGTGGGGTTTTGTGTTTTTAGCTAAAAGCTAAACCCACCAGACAGTTTTAAGCAAGTGAAGCCTTTTCCTTGCAGATGACCTCAGCTCACTTAGACCAACACACACAAGCAAAAGCAAGGAAGACAGTGACTGTTCTCTGCAAGGCGTGCGACCGCCCCCACAAAGGACCATGGTGGGAACCACCACCCAGTTCCACACAGCAGCATTCCTTCAAGTGGGCCATTCCTCTTCCTGCACAGAACTTAACAGTGACGTAGCCCATGAGAGCCAAACTGGGAAGGGGCGGTCACAGCTGTACTGTTTAAAGGAGACACAGCTCAACAAGCCAGTTTGGCATTCAACAGACACATCTTGGTCACAGGGACGTTCTCTTCCATGGGACAAACCTACGTAGTTTCCAAGCGAGCCAGCTCACCCCTTTCAGGCAGCAGGACACTGTGGATATTCTAGTCAGGGCTTGCTTTGGACAAAAACTGAGAGCTAATATTTTTCATCTCTAGTATCATTAACCCTATAGAGAAAAAAAAAACATATAATCAATGCTAGACAGCTGGAGAATGTGTAAGAAAACCACGCAGTAAAGGCAACGTTGAACTCATCTGACAGCTGTTCCATCACCGCCCACCACTCGGGCTTGAGGCTGGTGACTTCATGGACGCATCACTCCGATGCACTGCCAGTTCAGTTTCGAGTCTGTGATGGTGGCCCCAGTGTGACGCTGCCTGCCTCCACTCACTGCCTCCTACCCATGAGGTCCAAGGGGCCTTGGGTGATGGTGAGCACAGCACCTTGAATAGGTGCCAAGAGCCCAAGAAGCTTTCTGAAAACTGCCTTGGATTTGGGCAAGGAAACAAGTCAGTGGCTTGGAGTCCTGGCAGGCGCGTCCACACTGGGAACTTAACCTCAGCAGCCAGCCTGAAGGATGTCGCCCCCAGAGCGCTTGGTCACCGACAGCGTTGTGAACACCTGCAGGAGAAAAGACACAGCCATGTTCAGACCCCTGAGCAAGGGACTTGACAGGTAACACCACATGCACTGGAAATGACTCGTGACTACTTAATGCAACAGAGAAGCACTGTGACCTCTATTCTCTAGAGGGGAGAAGGGAAACCATGTTAAAACCCAGGTGAAAACAACACAGGTTACATCAAATAGGGAATTTTGGCAGCACGAATGTGAGGAAAACAAATCCGCTATCCATCCGCCCTCAATTCTGAAAGAAACCCATCACCAATGCTGGGGCCCAGGAACAGGAGTGAAGAACACGATCACCAGCACCCCTGGGCCCAGGCTGTTGGGCAGCCCCACATCTGCCTCTCCCAGAGGACCACAGCCCTCTTCTCTTCCCCTAATCCATGCTCATCACTCCTGTGCACTTCTTTTGTAGTTAAAAACAAAACAAAACAAAAAAAAACCTCACACATGTGACAAGATGCTGTACATACTACTCTGCTACTTTCTTGGCTCTGTATTTCTGAAACTCACCCATATCACAAATAGCTCTAATTCTATTTTCCACTAAATGGAAATTCAATTCAATTATTGTAGCATGCTACATGCAGAAGTCGGTTCCAAACTCCTCCTGGCCATCCGAGCGGTGGCCACTGTGCTCTTTGCAACATGCTGTGGAGATATTTTGGTATGTCTCCTTGCACAAAGAGCTCAGAGGGCAGGTGACTTCAACTTGGCTAGACTTCTGAGGTGCTTAAACCAACTAACCTTGTCCCATGCAATAGCCAATGAGCTCTTTTGTTTCAGATCTTGGCAAACAGTGGGTGGTTGTGGGCTTAGAGCCTTAACAACTGCAGTCAACTTTGACCTGCTACTGCTCATGACTGCCTGCACAGAACAACTGTCCCCAAATGTGAGCGAATGAATCCTGCTGCTCATACTTTGCCTGGAACGCAGGAAAATTACACTGACTCTAATTATACTAATCATAGAATTATACAAATTCTGATTTCTCAGGGCAGGGTTCAGGAACCTCATTTATAGCAGAAGCCCCAAGTGGTTTCATACAGTAGGATTTCTGTGGCACATCAGAGCAGGAAACGCACTGAGGGTTCCCAGCCTAGAAATCAAGCCACAGAGACCATCAACAGCATCTTTCTGCAGTTTCACTAACTGTAGGAAACTTCCCTGCAGCCAAGATTTTTAAGAACATAATGCTTCAACATCTAAAAATAGATTTTCATTCCTGGTCTAATGGAGTGTTGGTACCAGATCAGCTCTCTCTCTTAAGCAACCCCAAAACTATATGCAACTGACATTTTAGACACTAGACAACGGTTGGCAGACTGTGATCCCTGAAGAAAGAACAAGGTAAACCTGCAACCTGTCTACCTGCTTGGCTTCCTACCTGCAGCCATTAACCTAACCCTGGCAAAAGGGGGGATGGGGGGCAAGACCAGCAGACAGCTCAAGGGCTTGAAGAGACAAGACAGACTAGATCCTGGGAGGATGCAGTGGCCAGAAAGCTGTGAGGCACAGTCCCCAAGAGAAGGGAGCCACCCACCTCCAGAAATCTGCACATAGGACCCACGTGGCCAGGAACACCACCATCCAGGACTTGGAACCCCACTGCCACCCAAGCTCATGTGGGGTTAGTAGAGGTTCCAGTTGTCTTCCTGCAGGCCAGAGGTCACTGAGCCCCTGGGCCACTCAGAGATCTCAGGAAGCCACCCCTTAGGAGAAAAGCTACTTACTACTAGCCCTGGAGTAAAAGTTGCTCTAGACCATAACCAGCAAACTTGTAAATAGGCTCCCATTAACAGCTGCCTAACATAAGAAAACCCATCTGTCATTCTTCAAAGAAAGACAATATAACCCAGGTGCCCAAAACAGATTCAAAGAGCTGGGAGGAAATGTCAACCTAGAATTTCAAAGTCAATAACAATATCCTTCCAAGAAGAAAGTCAAATAAAGAYATTTTGAGACAAATAAAACTTGAGTGACTTTGTCCCTCACACAGCTATACTACAAAAACCCCTTTAAGACAAAGTGAGGGYGTAGCAAGGAGGTGCCGATGCCCTTCCCGCCAAGACCCGCCTGGTGACACTTCCTTCTCCCTTCACCACAGCAGCCAGAAGTGGCCTTGTTCCGTGATCACCTGCCCCAACTCCCTTATCCACACAGTCTTACTGAGAGCAGGCTGTGCCAGTTTTAGCCAGCTTTCCCACTGCTGTGACCAGAAGACCTGACAAGAACAATTTTAAGCAGGAAAAGTTTATTTAGGGGCTCATGGTTTCAGAGGTCTCAGTCCAGACAGCCAGCTCCACTCCTCAGGCCTCGAGGGGAAGCAGGGCATCATGGTGGAGAGTGTGGAGGAGGCAAGCAGCTCAAGACATCTCATCAGGAATGGGGGCGCGGGTTCCCACTTGACAAATACAAAATACATACCAATGCCACACCCCCAGTGCCCACCGGCTCTGCTCCAGCCACACCCTGCCTGCCTTTAGTTACCACTGTTAACCCCCATGAGGGTATTAAATCACTGATTGGATTAAGACTCTCGTGACCCAAGTGACCCAATCGCTTCATCTCTGAACCTGCCTGCATTGTCTGACACGTGAGCTTCTGGGGACACTTAACATCTAACACCACGGCAGCCCAAACCTCTGTTACTCTATTTTGSAAAACAGTAGCCTGCCATAGCTACTCCATTCTCAGTTCAAGTGCTGAGGTGGGATGGCACCACACCTTGTTTGGACAAGTAAACAAACACCATCCGCCTGGCACAACCACAAGGCATAACCGATAAATAAACTGTGCTAATAAGAGGACCCCCTGTGAGCTTACACATTAATCAGGAACACATGGATGCATGGGAATATCAAACACATCAGAAATACCAGGCCCATAAGTTTACTGAACCACCAGACCACCAATGAGGCAACCCCCTCACTCAAGACCCATAAGAGGAGGAGTACCCCACGATGCAACATGGTGGCACCCTGACCCCATCACCTGGTCACTCCTGACAAGCCTTGCCCAAGAAAATCACCAGTGATGAACCTCTGATCTCTGCCCTCAGGTTTTAGAAGACTACGGTTTCTCCCACCGGTAACAACCATGCGTCCCCCGAAAGCTGACACCTCAAGCTAACACTATGAACCTGCTGCTGTCTGGACCTTGTCCAGGAGTAAGCTCCTGTGCTCTGACAGCTCTGTGCTCAAACAAGTTCTTCTGCTGGTTCCTACTCCTGTCTGACCACCTGGAGCGACTCTGCCTCACGTCTGCTCTCCCTTGCTCAGTTCAGCCTCCTGAACCCCCGTGGCCACTGTAACCCTTTCTTAGCCTTTCTGTAACCTACATGTGCAATTGTGTTAAGTGTGCGACTTGAGTGTTACAGATGTTAGAAATTAGATTGGGATAAAAGAACCTCTGATTGCCCAGCTTATGACTACCAGGTGACCCACAAGTATTCGGTGACCGCCACCGGTGAAAAGTAGTGTGGGCTTATTATTGTTACTTATTACTTATTGTTACTCATTAATCCCGACACTGGAAAGACGCATGCGTATTAGTCTACGTTAATGGCATGACTTGCTCAGGACACCTCTTTCCCAGCACTTCTCCTGGGCTTTCAAAAGGGCTCAGCTGCCACCTTCTCACCACAGCCCTCCTCCAACCTGCAGGTCTCCACCCTCCTCTCAGTGATCTCAGCTGCTGTTGCCTGGGCTCTACTGCCACCCTCAAGTCCCCCTCTCCCACATTTCACTGCCAAATGCAGGGGACAGACAACTCCCGAGCCTCACTTTATGCAGTCCCTCTGCAGCATGGTAGCATTTCTCGTTGGCCTCACACACCTTTTAACCATCCAGTCCTCCTCTTGTTCCCATGACAGCGCTCCTCCTGGGTCCTCCTCTTGCAGCCGCTCTCAGTCACAGCCCAGGTGTGCTGAAAGGCCCACTGCACTCAGGTGGCCAGAACCTCTGGCTATCTGGCTGCAGATCCCAGCTGCCTCGTCTGTTCACCCCAATGTGCTACACAACTGTCACAATCATCCACGTATGTGTGACATGAAAAGGGCCAGGAGGTAGTGCCTGGGCCCTGCTCAGCTCTTCCCACTGGGTGCTTGCAGTAAGCTCAGTCACTCTGATGGGCACATGATCTGCAAGTTCCAGCCATCTCCTCTCAGCTGAGACATAGCAAACACCTTTTCCTGGATGATACATGTCCAATACGGAAGCCATGATCTGGTTCCTCTCAGGCAAAACCATTCCCTGGCAGTTCAGATCATGCATCTGAGATTCCCAATTCTTCTATCTCCACTACTGCTGATGTGTAATCAACTATTTTATTTATTTTACCTCTTTTCGGTCAAATTTGAACTCTTAATGCTGACATCTGGTTTAAATTCCTATAATTCTGATTAAATGCTTCTATTTGATTTTCATTAGTTCACAAAATAGACATATAGTGCCTTCCACCATTTATAGTCCCACACTGTCGAAAGGCAAGTGGGGGCCGTGGGTCTGCTGTAGCCAAGGACACATCACTTCTGAGTAGCCACTGGCTCCTTCACTGAGCCAACAAGGATCAGGAAGACTGCGCCATCARCCTGGCCCTGAGTCACACCTGACCGATGATGGCCACAGAGTACCAACAAGGAATATGTCTTGGCTTCTGGGAACAAACCAATCTAACAAGCAAAAACAAGAACTCACCATTCAAGCTCATATCTATAGTATCCAGGCATGAAAATTTAAAAAATGCTTTGCACTCAAATCAAATTTAGAAATGTATTTTGTTTTGAAGTACAATTCAGACTTCAAGCCAGATCTTTCTGATCTCACTGAGCAAGCTGGTTTGAGAAAAAAACATAAGCAAAATTCAGCTGGAGGGGAAACTATATTAGTTGTTCATTCCTATAATCAAATGCCTGAAGCAGGCTAACTTTATAAAGAAAAGAGGCTTATTTAGCTCAAACTTCTGGAGGCTCAAGGGCTAACATCTGGTGATGG